CGTGGTCTTATTTTCAAATTACAAATGCATGGGATTTCTGGCCAACTCTTGAAATGGATAGATAGTTACCTTTCAAATAGAAAACAATGGGTAGATATTGATGGAATCGAATCAGATTGGCGTTTGAAGCTGGTGTTCCTCAAGGGTCTATATTAGGCCCTTAATTATTTATTTTTTATATTAATGATATAGTAGCATCAACGGAAACAGATATTAACTTATTTGCAGATGATACATCTCTAATGGAGATTGTATCAGACCCATTAATCAGTACAAATAAGATATAACGTGATTTGGCACGCCTGGAAGCATGGTCCAAAACATGGAAAGTTACTTTTAACGCAAATAAGACAAAACTTTTGACCATAACTCTGAAAAAGAGCAAATTTCTTTACCCTGATTTAACTTTAAACAATACCATTTTGAGGAATGTCGAAGAGATTGTCACCTAGGGCTAACTCTTCAGTCCAAAATGAACTGGAACTCTCATATAAATAAACTTGCCTCAAAAGCAAATCGGCGCCTATCCCTAATGAAAAGATCAGCTTTTAGATACAATCTTGATAAAAACACTTGGAAACTCTCTACTTTTCGATGGTAAGATCTGTCTTAGAATATTATGATGTCATATACAATAACTGTACTGACAGCCAAAGCAAAATCTTAGAAAAAGTTCAGAGGGATGCAGCAATTATATGTACCAGAGCTTATAGACACACTAACTACAATAATATTTTGAAAGAGCTCGGCTGGGATACATTAAAGAAAAGAAGAGAAATGCATGCTCTATTCCTGTTTCATAAAATTTCAAATAAAAATGCACCCCAATACCTTAGTGACCTGATTCAACCATTCATCCAAAAACCCCAACATAGATATTTACTCAGAAACATCCATGATTTTAGGTTACCCCGCTGACGATTAAAGATGACCTCCTCCTCCTTCTTACCTTATATTTTAAATAAATGGAACAATCTAAGCAAAGAACTTAAAAGCATCAGCTACCTTCCTCTTTCAAACACAAATACAAACTATCCCATCGCAACCCCAAAAATCCACTATTTTCCTTAAAGGCAAGCAGATCATCAATCAATCATTCCAGAATTCGTATGGGTCTTAGTGCTTTGAATGCGCGATTTTCTTATCATGTTATTGACTTTCAAAACTGTCCTTGTGGCTATTTTAAAGAAGATATCTCTCATTTTCTCTTTGACTGTCCCCTTTACGCTGCTCCACGTGCCACCCTAGTGAGAGATATTGGGAACACTGGGAACTACAGGAACTTAGCAAAACATTCAAAAATCATCGCAGTGATGTCATATCCGTCAACGATAATTTAACTATTTTCACTCACGGACAGAAGTTCATTCAACACACCCAGAGATTCATCTGACATCTTTATTTAAGTTTTATTTAAGTTTACATGCTATTTGTAATGTATATATTGTAGAACCCTGGAGGGTTATAATGGTACTTGTTCACTGTTACCTTCTAGGTTAAATAAAATGATTAAAAAAATCAAGTTCCATAGCCTTGCCCAAGTCGGTCTCTTTTACTTATCTTGATTTCTAGTATAACCGCCTTGTACCCAAGAGAAAGCCACATGTTTTACCGACCCAATGTTTTTGTCGGTAAAATTTGACCAATCAATGACGGTCCTACATTGCCGGACTAGGTCTTCGTGCATATCCATCGCGAATTCAGTTTTGATTTCGAATCAACATTGAATTGCATGATTTCATTTATACGAGTATTAAAGACTGCTTACATTCCAATGTACATTTAATAACATAATAATTATATTGTAACTCTCAAGAATCAGACTGAAGTCACAGGTCGTGTC